GCATTGCAGTCTAAAAGTCTTACCCATCACTCCCTGTCCACCCAGAAGTGGCTGTAGCTACTGCAAAAGGGACAGCGCCAATCGATCAACTGTCACTAAATGGCACTACTTTCACAGAGACTGCAATCTGGATCCAGAAACTGAGTGAAGTCGAGGAAAACATTTCAACACTTAATGGTTAAAACAATGTTATCGCTGCTTGTTCAAGCCACATCACTTGTCAGATTAATTTTTTAAAAAAACAAACAAAATTAACTACATTTAACTGAAATGACATAAGCCATAGCTTCAGACAAATTACTTTTCCAAAAGCCATGAAGGCACTTTCTGCTATGCTATACATCTCTATGCTAAAGCTAGACATTTTTGGTGAAGCGACCATATCTCGCATATGCTTATAAATAAATAATAACAAAAATGTGTCCAATTCAGGCTTTAAGACTATATACATGTGCATTTCTGGTAAGAAAAGCACGGAATGAAAATGCCATCTCAGCCATAGCAGTAACATAGCAAGTGCTATTATATAAAAATAAAGGAGGTCATTTAGTTGCATCCTTTCCACATTTTACAACCTTTGCCCACACTAAAAGAAACAGTCATTAAAGACCCACATTAGAAACAACATGAAAGACCACCATCTGTCTACGAGAAGCTTCCATCAAGTCAAAACCTAATGCTCATGTCTCCACAGCAGGCTATTTATTGCCTGTTCCAGACAGATTAAAATAGGGCAATGAATAACAAGTGAAACTGAGGCTGCTGGAGAGTTAAACACACATATTCAGCATAAGTGGCTTGAAGCCTTCTACTAGATTTCAAACAAGATCTCTATTCTAAACAAAAACGTATGCATCCCATTAGAAGCTCTTTTGCACACTGGAAGCACAGTCATTTATTTCTTCTAGACTTCACTGTCTGCTCAGAGATACTATTACAGATAAACCCTATAGAGAATATTGGAAATGCCTCTGAATTATGTATTTCAGTGTGCACATTACACTGGTTGGGAAGGAGACAGACAATAGAAACAAAAACATTCCCTGATTCTTTTGAAACTTAGCATTATTCTTGGCTACTAAGTATCAAAGATCAACAATCTGAATTTTTCTTTAACCAGTATAGATAATTGATTTTAATGGGCACATTCTAAACCTCATTTAGAACTTTTTGAAAATGTGTCCAATTCTATTAAAAAGTTATTCTTCCAAAATGTACATCAATAACAGAACACTGTAGGTTCCCATTAGAGCAGAGGTGTCAAACTCATTTGTTATGAGGGCCAGATCTGACATAAATGTCACTTTGTTGGGCTGAGCCATGTGTGCCATAAAACATAATGCCAGGTACCAGGGATATAAACTGTATAAAAGACAACAGCTGATAAGCTCCGAATTGTTGTATCCTCCCTGCAAGGCACCATGGCCTGGGAGGGGAGAGCAAAGGAAAACCCGTATCAGAGGACTGGAGATCCAGCGGTGTAGCCCTGAGCAGACACTCCCACGCTGCTTGACTGCTGCAGACGAGGTTGTTCCACCATGCCGAAGCTACAATTGGAGTGGCTCCGCCCACTCCCCCCCAAGCAGTCTCCTGTTCCCTCCCTTGCACTAGTTGCTTGTGGGCCGTTTGACACTAGAGAGAAAACAGTGGTGTACATCTACTCTACTCAACTACTCTAGCTGCTTGAATTTTGTCCAGTACGTTGCATGCCCGTACATCAGAATGAGATCACTGCAATTATGCTTGCCAGCCCTTGTTTATTCAATAATTGTCATTTAATAAACTCTGCCAAACTACTAAAACAGAAATTATGCCTGACAAAAGACAGAATGCATTTGGGGCTTTCTTGTGTGCTATAATTTATGAATTTAATTTTATATATAAGTTACATATTTTTCTGGTCACGTTTTAAAGCAACACATGCAATGCTATAGCCATTTAGCCTTATAAAATATAGTGCCAAATCAGATGTCAAAATGAGAGGATAAACACTGAACCTTGACATTTTAGCTAGCCAAGCAAGGTCTAACACAAATATGAGCAATGCTCTTCACTCTTCTTCACCTTTTCCCCTAGCTGTCATTAGATCTTTGAAAATGTGGGTTTAAATGTTTATCAGGTTTCTGTCTTCATAGAGGTACAGAGATTTGAAATATATATCTAGTATATTTCTACCCTGCCCTTCCTCCAAGGAGCTTTGTAGAATGGCTTTCCATTCTACATTTTATCCTTACAACAATTCTGAGAGGTGGGTTAGGCGGAAAGAGTGACTGGCCCAAGATCACCCAGTGAGTTTCCATGGCAGAATGGGGATATGAACCCATCTCCCAAATCTTATTTTGACACTAGAACCGTTTTCCCATACTGGCTCTGAGAATATGTACTACAGGCTAATGTTAATTGCGAAGCACAATCCAAGTGAACTTTAATCTTATGATTTGTCATGGTAATCAGAATAACATTCCATTTATCAAACTTATCTTGGAGAATTGAATGTAATAATGTCTAGATGATTTGTTTATAGAACTGAAGATGAATTTTAAGTTTTATATCCAACTTTTTACTAAATAAGTTTTCATTATTAAAATAATTACAATTTTTAAAAGAATCTTATGATTTACATCTTATTTTTAAAATTCTCATATTAATCCTAAATGGAGGAAGAAAAATGATCTCCATCAGTGACATGACCTATTGAATAAATCTCATCAATCTCATGACTAAACATATGCAAGTTATCTGCACACCTGGCAAAACATGGCCTGCAACATGATACAAGATCCAGCTAAAATTATGCATTACTCTGTTCCTATACCCTTCAAGTTAGATATTTATAGCATGTAGGATGCAATATGCAGAAACAGGACCTGAATTATTTCATTTCCCATTACAGTCTCAATGTTTCTTACAAGTAACCTCATATAGTGATAACACAACCTACTTCATCTTTCTTCACCATTCAATCACTGCTCGTACTATTGCTATCTGCTTGGCGATTGTGTTGGAAGAAATGAGGCAATCCATTTGTCTCTTTCACCTCTAACAATATGGCCTCATTATGAAAAGGGGCCCCACCTGCTTTCACTATTCACCCAGATCTTAACGGTATTCTGTATTCTTGATTTCTAACACGTTCGTTTCTCTGCCTCTTTCAGCTAAAACTCCCAACATCTGGTTGAGATAATAAGAGCTGTTTCACTGTCTGTCATGTTTCTTTAGCCTTGCAATTCCAACCATATTTTAAAGCTATCCTTCCATATTTTGGAGCCTAAGTAAGTGCAAATACGCAGATTCCCAATATTACAATATATGCTTGAGCCAGAATGGCAGGATTTAAACTTTTTTTGAACTAGTAGAACTTTTCATAGACAACCGATCAAAAGCTTGTTTAGCAGGTGGTAATTTCTTCTTTATGAAGCCATGTAGATTTAAAAACTGAAATAACCAGGGAACCTCTGAAGCTTCAAAGATTTCTGGCAAGGCAGCAATATTCAGTGAAGCCTCACTTGCTTGATTAGAGTTTGGGCTAATCCAGAGATTCAATAGATTTTACACCTGTTCCCTGAACATCCACTCTGAGTCAGGCTGGGGGGCTTACACTTCATGCTTGTATGGGTCTCTTGATCATAAACAGAAATTAACAAATCGACCTTAAAGAGTAAAGGGAGCAAAGCTGTGACTGAATGCTTGATGTGGACTTTTCCAGACATTGTTCCACCCCCACCCACCAGGCACTATTAACAAAGCAGCAGAGCACAGCTATTTGGACCTAATGTCTCCCTGGACCTTGGGGAGACTCAAGCCCTGGTCAGACATTCCAAAGCCAGAGAATCAAAGTGAACCTTCCTGCTCATGTGCAAACACACACATTCTTACAACTGCATTCCAATCAACACTGGTCACAGAGAAATTTGCTGCCATGATCCTGCCAGCCTTTCCTTGCCTATTCAACCCCCCCCCCCCGCCTTTGCCAGCATAAACCTAAAAGCTTATACTATATTCCTTGTCTAGTTCTGTTCAACACTTTCCTGGGAGAAAGGCCCATTTAAGATTTTTTAATCTGGTCTGACAGCAACGTTCTGGATTCTCACCACAACACAAGATCCTAAAAAGAATATTCTGTTCTCTTCTATTTGTTTTCAGTTTTATAGGGGCCAATTCATATGTTCCACAGAAACATGGATTTCAGAAGCAAGAATAGATAACGAATGGCAGCATCAAGTGATAACCTGCATTTCTTAGCTATCACAGTTTAGTCATCACAGCCCCAATGACTCGCCATTAAAAACTGTTCATACATTTGCCTGAAAGTCACCTAGACATCAGGTTGGATCCAGATTAAACTGGCAATTTCCACTGATTCCCATTGCAGACCCCCCCATGTCACTGCCCAGAGTCCCCCATCCCCCAGAAGAAGGATTTCATGGAGATCTGTGGGCTGCAATGGGAGGGGAGAAGCAGAAAAAGTCTCTTTCAGTGATGGAAAAATTTAGACTGGATCCAGCCCATCATGATCAGCAAACCTATGTGATTCAGACGAAGTAGCCTCGTGATGGCTACAAATCACTTTTATCATACACAGATGTACATAACCCTTTTCTTTTCACAGCCTAGTTTTAATGTACTACTCTTTCTTTTGAATTTGTGTTTATCATTAGGAAATATAGCAAGATCAAAAAAATACCAACCTCTTTGAACCCAAACCAGATATAAGAAACAATCACATGGAAAAGTCCATACTAACTCACATTTCTAATAAAGCAACGAACTTATGCAATACCCTGGAGGATGAAGAATAAAGTAGTCAAAGCTTCTGTACAATAGAGGCAGTTGCAGCCAATCTCCATGATTTTGGAAAACAAAATCCACCTCTATACAAAAGCCATTTCTATACATACACTTACAAGATAGTTAGGTGTATCTCTCTCTTGTTTTAAAGGAGAAACAAAGAAAAATACACGACAAAGTAGCAAAGTCAGGAAAATAGTACAAAGCCTTACTTCAGATTTCGAGGACATGTTCTCTTCCATATCGGAATCATTAGGGTCCACAATGTCATCAAATGGCGGCAAAGTGGTCTTCTTCTTCTCCAGTGTCTCACTTTCCATTTTGACTTTCCCAATCTTAAACTGAGATTTATCCCTTACTTGTTTTTTGTCAGCAGCAGAACAAGTGAGTATCAGTGGCGGAGCACTAGAAAAACTTTTAAATAAAGTTTCTGAGCCACTTTTTTTCCTCTTTTTGGACACAAGATCCTCGGAATCCATACCAGGAGGCCTTTTTGTAGGGACCTTCTTTTCTTGCTGCTGTCCACCTGTTATGGTAAGGATGTTATTTTCAGATTTTGGCTCCTTTGACATAGGTTTGGGTTCCTTGAAGGCCATCTTAGGAACTATTTTTTCATCCTTTAGTGGTTTGTTTTCTTTGGGTTTCTTAGAGGATTCTTTGGAAGATTTGTTATGTTCCCTGGAAGGTTCTTTGAAGGCACTTTTATGTTCTTTTGAGTCTTTAGAAGGTTTCTCCTTGTGCTCCTTTGTTAATTTGTGGGGCTTCGAAAAACTGTTACTACTACCACTGCTGCTAGTGCTTATACTCTTAGTTGGGTCCTGCAACAATGGAAACCACAACATTAACACCCAGAAAACTAAATTTAAGATACAACAGATACTGCTACTATGCAATGTCTATTCAACTTTAGCAAAGCTTGAAAACGAATGGTCATCACGTACAAGCAGAGAGTAACAGAATGAACTGATTTCCTTGGTTTTGGAAACCAGAGAATAAATCAATACAGATGAACGAAGCAGTAAAAATACAGCCAATATGTTGTTTCCACAGAACGGTCAGAACCGTCACATGTTTTGGCCCCCCCCCCCCCCCCGGTAAGATTTAGTATAGATAACAAACATCAAACTATCTCAATGAATTTGCATTGAAATATCTACCATGAAAAGGACAACAAAGCTTAGAAAATTTTAGATCAAAGGAATGATTTAACATTTTGATTATAAATTATCTGGGCATCATTTTGACTTTTTCCCTGACGGACTGGATATTTGAAAAGTAATCCAAAATCCAGGAAGTGCCTGGGGCAGATCTGGCACCAAGATCTGGCACCAAGGTTCCTAGGCTGTCTTTCCCCGACCACCCACCCACTCCCAAATTTAGAAAGGTACATAGAGAAAGCAGATGTAGGCCCCAGGAACCACTGCAGTCATACTTGGACATCGCTGCCCAGGATTGTGAAAAACCATGGAGAATGAAATTTCCATTATTCCTAGTGTCCTGGATCCTGCCACACCCTTCAATAGCAAAACCATCTGCTCACTTACCTGGAACAAGTTCTCTAATTCTCAGGTGAGAAGGACACCCATTAGTTTATACTGCCTCTCTTGAGCTCGCACTTGTGCAGAAGTGCAGACAATGTATGAGACAGAAGGGGTCTCTCCCCGTTTCTCACTTCCATCAGTGCAAACTCCTATTTTCCCACAAGCATTCTAGGAAAGTCAAAGGATGAAACAGCCAAGCCAATATCTGTGGTATGCATCCATGGCAGGGCATGCCAGCTCTGGACTGGGAAATCCCTGCAGATTTGGGGGTGAAGCCTAGGGAGGGGCCTCAGCAAGGTATAATGCCATATAGTCTACCCTCAGAAACAGCCATTTTCTCCATGGGAATGAACCTCTGTCATGCAAAGATCAGTTGTAATTCTGGGCAATTTCCACTCCCACCTGGAGGCTGGCATCCCTAATCTACAGAACACTGCAGGGTGAAATGGATTCATTACTCTGAAGAGGGGTAAGTAAACTCCAAAACTCCAGCCTTTGAATGTTGTCAATTTCAGCATTCGCTTCAACACCATCATCAAGTTTACATGTTGAATTAAGATACAAATCTTACTACTGTTCCCATCTGCAGCCTCAACAGTAGTGGTCTCTATTACATTTTTCAGTTGCAAGAGAATATAAAAGGCTATGTTATATGGGCATGAAAGTAATCTGTATCAAAGGTAACAATTAGAGTTTCCTTTCAGAAACCTGCACTCAAGTTACTACCTTGCTCATTATTTAAAGGAGGCAGAATTCTTGTTCATCTTTATCTTTGTCAGGGTTGGAGTTAGTAACTTCACAGCCTAATCAAAAGAAGGCTGACAGAGTCTGTCCATTCAGACCAACTACGCAAAGGCACCATTCAACCATGCAGGAAGCCATTCATGTGTACCAGCTCACAAACTGCAGCAAACCACAGAAGGAATGGTTTTGAAGTGATGCAGTGACAATTAGAAAGACTATATAATGAACATATGCACTAGAAAACATTTCTATATGGAGTGTCCATACTGTAGGAGTTTAAACAGCTCCTCTTTTTGGGAGCCATAAAGAAGTTTAAAATGTATTTGTTTGCAGCAGCATCCCAGTCTAGTGAATCAAGGGTTGGATGTTTTGACCTGGAAGACCTGGCATCCTGTTGCTCACCAACAGCTCTGAACACATTCTGTTTCAGCCTACATACTTACTGTGATTTTCTTAGAATCATAGAATCGTAGAGTTGGAAGGGACCTCCAGGGTCATCTAGTCCAACGCCCGGCACAATGCAGGAAATTCAAATGCCTCCCCCCCCCACACACACACGCAGTGACCCTGCTCCATACCCAGAAGATGGCAAAAAACCTCCAGGATCACTGGCCAAATTGGCCTGGAGACAAACTGCTGCCTGACCCCAAAGTGGCAACCAGCATTTCCCTGTAAGAAAGGGAACAGTTGCAATGGCAAACAGCGCTGTACATAATTTTGCACTCTTTTTTGCATTTTTTAAATGTGTGTGTGACCTGGAAGTCACGGTGATCTCTGGTGACTGACTTATGTGTGCATCTGGAAGTCATGGTGACCTCTGGTGACTGACCCCTACTGAAGACCTGGAGGTTATTCAGAAAGGTGGCGGAATAAAGCCTGCCCCGCCTCCTGCCTCTGGTATTTCAAGGAAGTCTCCCATTCAAGTACTTGTCAGAGTCAACCCTATTTAGCTTCCAAGATCTGACAAGATCAGACTTGCCTGGGCTATCCAAGTCAGGTCTCCATCAATCTGCACTCTTAAATTGTTGTTAGTTATTTTGCCCAGCATACACAGAAAACATAATTATTTCGTCATTCATTTGCATTTCCAAACCTAATCCATGACCCTTGCACAACCCTTAAAGGGAAAAGTATATAGCCCTTTTCACCACTAGAATGGAGCTAGAATGGAGAGGTTTAACAAGCAACAATTTGTTTGCAGCATTAGCCCAGTCTAGTGAATCAAGGGTTGGATGTTTTGACCTGGAAGACCTGGCATCCTAACTGTTCCTCACCAACAGCTTTGAACACATTTGAACACATTTCGCCACTTTGAGCTAGAATGGAAAGGCTCAACAAGCAACATTTTTTGTTTTTGTTTCAGAAACAAGTTTTGGAAAAATGTACCAGCAGCATCATTACATTCAACATAAAATGAGTTTGGGGACATTGAACAGGCCATGCTAACCAGATATACACAGGAAGACTTTATAAGTTTCTCTAACCAGATATACACAGGAAGACTTTATAAGCTTCGCCCCCCCTCTACTTTTTGAAGAAATGTTGCATTGAGTATAACAAGCATGCCAATATGATTATTGGTCAATAATCCATTACTATAGATGACTGATTGATAATGCATTATTATGCATGTGGTATGCTATCAACGTACAGCAGAGTTTTATTTACAGTTTGTAAGCAAAACTGCAAGAGGAACCATAAGTTGCTACTCCAAGTGACTTTACAATGTAAAAACTAACTCCTTTTTCAATGAAACAGCCCAAAGTGATTACTGTAGATGTACTTGCAAGATATTAGAGTAGGACTTAAAATCGACATTGACAAGCAAGGACTATGGGAGTCAGAACTGTTAGTATGTTAACAAACTGAAGGCAGTTGGTCAGGTTTCAAACAGCGCATGCTGGATGTTCAGGGAGGAATCACTGGTTTTTCCCTTAAAGCAGCAGCTACGTCAAAGAACGCAGCCTTGAAGGATTCCTTAACTTTCCAGAATGACTTTGGGGGAAGGGGGTGAAGAGCACTGGTAGAAAAGAAAGAGTCCTGGATCTCAGCCATTCTATTTGTGTGCAGCAAATGGGAACAGCAAGCAATGAAAATGAAGATCAGCATGGTCCCCCAAATAATATCACTATAATAGTACAAATACAAAGACTTCAACCTACATCAAGTAGGCTTACCTAATCTGAGGTAAGGTAACATTTTAGAAGTAGATAAAACAGATGAATCTAAATTACTATACTATTACAAAACAGTTAATACTTTGGTATATAACTAAAATTCAGAATGCAAAACAATTATGACATGAACAACATTTGATTTCAATCCTATCCTGTTTTCTCCCAAGATGGCAAACAAGTTAATAAGAAATCAGTGTGCCAAATTAATGTGTATGAAATTTCTCTACCGAATAACACAGAGTCTCGACATGCAAGCATGTACAGAGCAAGAATTTACAGAATTTTTGAAGCCATGGGAGAGAAAAGACCCAACATTCCAATGGACATTTTGAAAAATTTGAAATACATGTGATATTTTCTTATCAAGTCTAAATTTATTTTGCAGTTTAACATCTTCAAATTACTTTAAGGAACCTTTATATGGCTCAGGAAAATGTCTGGAAAGATCACTGAACAACAAGTTTAAACATTTTGCTATCTACCAAATAAGAATCTTGATTTGAAATACATGTGATATCTACTTTTTATCAAGCCTTAACTTATTTTGCTGTTTTAACATCATAAAATGCATTATTTAAGCAATCATACTATTTGGCACACTTATGAAATTTAAAAGTTCAAATGCCTAGGCTTCCCATAAGCAACCAATTGCTTTGTGAACTCCATTAAGCCTAACATGGGATTTAAATTTTTAAAATACATCAATATAGTGTAGGCAATTTTGTCAGTCATTCATATTCTGTATCTGCCCTATAAATAAACTACAATCTAAAAAAATAAATCAATGGCAAGCAACTCCAAATGTTTAAGCATGAGCCTCTCTTTGAATTGCTTTTGGCTCTTTCCTCATTCATCCGATTAAAGTACTGCTTTGAACTAGTTATTTCTTGGCTGATAGGCCGTGCACCAGTCAAATTGTTGCTTGAGGCCTGCCCTAGTTTCTTTTGCCAAGCTGTATCTCACCTTTGGCCCATGAGATGATTTCTTCTTCACTTCAGAAAAAGACAGGGAGTTACTAGGAAGGTTAGGGAGATGAAGACTCTGCCCTGAAGCAGCTGATGTACCATCTGACATTACCATGATCTATTATGAAGGAGAAATAAATGTATTAGTAACATCTAGAAAATTGATAGGGACAGAAACTGAGGCTCTTGGCAGTAGATGCTTCCAATACCATGGATAAATTACCAGCTAAGGTTTCTTCTACAAGATGCCCATAATTGACTATACCAAATTTATTAAAACATCATTTGGCTTTCACTGTGAACTGAAAGAATAAATTGAAAGCATAAGCATGTACACACACACACACACACACCACCTATTAGAATCTATCAGTGAAGCACAACTGTGAAAGGGGGGAATCCAGAAAACATATCAATATCTGTGTGTCCTGGAAATGAGAGAATGTAAACCTGTTTACTCTCATACCCAAAGGCAAGAGTTTATGGCAGATCTCAAACCAGACGTTTTGTCAGAGGTTATTTTGCACCTTAACCACTCCCAAAGGCATCTATGCTGTGGATACTCAGCACATTGCCAAGACCTTACTAATAGTTTGTGCTCATGAATTCAATTCATTTGAGTAAACCAAAATGTCATGTAGTTTTTCTGCTACACCAGCAACATTGGCAGGGTACAAACTACTTTTGCCATGAATTTAGTTGTTTAAAAACCTAACTTGCCACAAGCTTAAAAAAAGATGAAATGTGTATATGGTAACAGGTAATTTTGTAGAAGAACGTTAGTTTACTCAGTTTCACTACTTATAGAAAACTTCCTTTCAATAATTGTGAAAACAGACAATTGAACGTCTTGGGGGCAAGAAATTCACTGCAGTCACAGAAATCAATAAAATGTTAAGGAAATTTTCCAAAGGCCTAGAAGAAGCCCCTGATGAATCACATACAGATTAAAACACTGAATTTAACATTAGAGTACAACAAGGCCTCCACAATCTAAGGAAAACACTAGTTAGTAGCAAAGAATGAATTTGCATAAGTATTTTAAGCCATGGTTGCAAGTGATGATAAGACTGCATCAGTTTTATGCAGAAAATCTTTTTGATATATGGGTTTGACATTTGGATAGGACTTACCCCTCCTGCTCTCAGTAGCTTTCTTCTGAACTCTTCCGTGGGGTTGTTGAAAGTAAGCTTTTCACAGCGGAGATGGTTTACAGGTGGGTGGCCTTCCAAATGTAGGAATAGGTCATAGTCAAAGCGGACTTTCTTCGGTTCTTCCTATGGGTTAGAAAATAGTCAGGCTGGGGGGGGAAATCTGATACCACATTGTCTTTCATTCCACTCTTACAAAGACTTGTTTCTTTGCTTGTAGATTAAGCAGGACATTGCATTCGTTGAAGTTCTGAAGATTACCTTAAATAAATATCTCTGAGAAACCCAGGAGAGAAATGACTAAAATTACTGTTTGGTTTCAGCTTGAATCATGGCATTGCTGGCAATGGCTTTTAAATATTTTCAGCAATCTTTTTGAAAGTGGAGCAAACAGCTAGAACTTTCGTGCCTAGAAAGAACATGGAGGTGTGTATTCTTTTCTACAGTCCTAAACTGCTTCCCCACACCCATCAATTAACATTAAGCCCTTATATTAACACAGAAAGCAAATTTCTACTCTTTTAGCAAACCAGATTTTTTTAAAAAAACAACAACAACACTGAAAGGTAGAAAACAAAACTATTGTGACCCCAATCCATCAATTGGTCTTTATGGATGTAAAATTAATGCAAATAAGTCTATATCAAACATTCATATGGCACATTAAATTGCACCTTGTTGCCCCATTATAGGTCATTACTATAATGAAGTCTAGATCCAGATTGCCCTTGGCAACTGTTCAGAGGCCACAGGTTGTCAAGAATGCCAACGGAAACAGAGTGCTCCCTAGTTGCCCAACTGAAACCGACTATCAAATCAAAGTGTTAATGTTGCTGTACAAAGCCGTAAATGTCAAGATTCAAATATCTTAAGACATCATCTCCTTCCCTGAGACCCAGTTCAGTGCTTCCCCGAGGACTTCTGTTTAAGACTACCATTCATGCAGTTGGTCTAGATGACAAGGCTGCTTATTTAATGTGTTTTGTGGATTGTTGTTGTTCAGTCGCACAGTTGAGTCCGACTCTTCGCGACCCCATGGACCAGATCACGCCAGGCCTTCCTGTCTTCCGCCGTCCTCTGAAGTTGGCTCAATTTCATGTTCGTTGCATCTATGACACTGTCTAACCATCTCATCCTTTGCTGTCCCCGTCTTCTTTGACCTTCAATCTTTCCCAGCATCAAGGTCTTCTCCAGTGAGTGCTCCCTTCTCATTGGGTGGCCAAAGTATTTGAGCTTCAGTTTCATTATCTGTCCTTCCAGGGAACAGTCAGGGTTGATTACTTTTAGGATTGACTGATTTGATCTTCTTGCAGTCCAAGGGACTCTCAAGAGTCTTCTCCAGCACCATAGTTCAAAAGAATCTATTCTTCGGCGCTCGGCCTTCCTTATAGTCCAACTCTCGCAGCCATACATGACTACTGGGAATACCATTGCTTTGACCATGTGGACTTTTGTTGGCAGGGTGATGTCTCTACTTTTTATCATGCTGTTTA